TAAGTGTACCGCCAGCAGGTACGGGAGGGTGTACCGTCGGCGTGTACCGCTGAAGGAGACCAGCAGGAACTACGCGGCCGGGAAGACCAAGATGGCGGCGTGGTTCGTGTCCCACTGTGACGCCATCAGCGGCAGGGAGCAGTACGAGCACTTCTCTCATACACACACACACACACACCTCCTCCTTCACCATACACATGATATATATACATGAGAATACATACTTGTAATTAAACATATTCATGGAATGACACATGTGTGTTATAAACTGTGACAATAACAATGTTTGGTGCGTGTGTGTGCTAGGCTGGTGGCGACGCTGAGGCGCTGGGTGGAGGTGGACCAATATGGCAGGTGTGGCGGCCTCTCCTGTAGCCTCCACCAGTCAGACAAGTGTGACCTCCTCCTCAATACACACTACAAGTTCTACCTCTCCTTTGAGAACTCTCTCTGTCGGGACTACGTCACGGAAAAGTTCTTCCGGATTTTAAGGTACGTTGAAGCATCCTAAATTATGGGGCCAGATTCACGAAAGCACTTACGAACCTGTACATCTTTTGTCAATCTTTAGCGGCTTTGTTTACAATTATTAAACAGTTAATGAGCTCCGAAGCACCAGGAGGCTGTTTATAACAATAACAACAGTTGATTGGGAAGTTTTCATGCTTGTAAACTGTTTAATAAATGTAACCAAAGCCGTCAGAGATTGAGGAAAGATGTACACGTTCGTAAGTGCTTGCGTAAGTGCTTTCGTGAATCTGGCCCAACTGTATCGTTTACAAACTTCACAAAGCACTTCATTGGAATGGTTTATATAGAAGTATCAGAATGATCCTATAATTATTTTTCATACTATGTAGCAATTTAATTATTTCGATTGTAATAAGAATTTCAGATGGATTTATTACAGAAAACGGGAGATATTATATATTTTCCTCGGCCAATGAGGAAGTGTTGATAGTTAACTGTGTATAGCTAGTGTAAGGGTGGTGGTGCAGGCTGGGGGGGGGGAGGTAGTCCAGTAACTACAGGCCAGGTGGTGGTGCAGGCTGGGGGGGGCGAGGTAGTCCAGTAACTACAGGCCAGGTGGTGGTGCAGGCTGGGGGGGGGAGGTAGTCCAGTAACTACAGGCCAGGTGGTGGTGCAGGCTGGGGGGGGGAGGTAGTCCAGTAACTACAGGCCAGGTGGTGGTGCAGGCTGGGGGGGGGGCGAGGTAGTCCAGTAACTACAGGCCAGGTGGTGGTGCAGGCTGGGGGGGGGAGGTAGTCCAGTAACTACAGGCCAGGTGGTGGTGCAGGCTGGGGGGGGAGGTAGTCCAGTAACTACAGGCCAGGTGGTGGTGCAGGCTGGGGGGGGGGAGGTAGTCCAGTAACTACAGGCCAGGTGGTGGTGCAGGCTGGGGGGGGAGGTAGTCCAGTAACTACAGGCCAGGTGGTGGTGCAGGCTGGGGGGGGGAGGTAGTCCAGTAACTACAGGCCAGGTGGTGGTGCAGGCAGGGGGGGGGCGAGGTAGTCCAGTAACTACAGGCCAGGTGGTGGTGCAGGCTGGGGGGGGGGAGGTAGTCCAGTAACTACAGGCCAGGTGGTGGTGCAGGCTGGGGGGGGAGGTAGTCCAGTAACTACAGGCCAGGTGGTGGTGCAGGCTGGGGGGGGGCGAGGTAGTCCAGTAACTACAGGCCAGGTGGTGGTGCAGGCTGGGGAGGGGCGAGGAAGTCCAGTAACTACAGGCCAGGTGGTGGTGCAGGCTGGGGGGGAGGTAGTCCAGTAACTACAGGCCAGGTGGTGGTGCAGGCTGGGGGAGGGGAGGTAGTCCAGTAACTACAGGCCAGGTGGTGGTGCAGGCTGGGGGGGAGGAGGTAGTCCAGTAACTACAGGCCAGGTGGTGGTGCAGGCTGGGGGGGAGGAGGTAGTCCAGTAACTACAGGCCAGGTGGTGGTGCAGGCTGGGGGGGGGCGAGGTAGTCCAGTAACTACAGGCCAGGTGGTGGTGCAGGCTGGGGGGAGGGGCGAGGTAGTCCAGTAACTACAGGCCAGGTGGTGGTGCAGGCTGGGGGGGAGGTAGTCCAGTAACTACAGGCCAGGTGGTGGTGCAGGCTGGGGGGGAGGTAGTCCAGTAACTACAGGCCAGGTGGTGGTGCAGGCTGGGGGGGGAGGTAGTCCAGTAACTACAGGCCAGGTGGTGGTGCAGGCTGGGGGGGGAGGTAGTCCAGTAACTACAGGCCAGGTGGTGGTGCAGGCTGGGGGGGGAGGAGGTAGTCCAGTAACTACAGGCCAGGTGGTGGTGCAGGCTGGGGGGGGGGAGGTAGTCCAGTAACTACATGCCAGGTGGTGGTGCAGGCTGGGGGGGAGGTAGTCCAGTAACTACAGGCCAGGTGGTGGTGCAGGCTGGGGGGGAGGTAGTCCAGTAACTACAGGCCAGGTGGTGGTGCAGGCTGGGGGGGGGAGGTAGTCCAGTAACTACAGGCCAGGTGGTGGTGCAGGCTGGGGGGGGGGAGGTAGTCCAGTAACTACAGGCCAGGTGGTGGTGCAGGCTGGGGGGGGAGGAGGTAGTCCAGTAACTACAGGCCAGGTGGTGGTGCAGGCTGGGGGGGGGGAGGTAGTCCAGTAACTACAGGCCAGGTGGTGGTGCAGGCTGGGGGGGGGAGGTAGTCCAGTAACTACAGGCCAGGTGGTGGTGCAGGCTGGGGGGGGGGAGGTAGTCCAGTAACTACAGGCCAGGTGGTGGTGCAGGCTGGGGGGGGCGAGGTAGTCCAGTAACTACAGGCCAGGTGGTGGTGCAGGCAGGGGGGGGCGAGGTAGCCCAGTAACTACAGGCCAGGTGGTGGTGCAGGCTGGGGGGGGAGGTAGTCCAGTAACTACAGGCCAGGTGGTGGTGCAGGCTGGGGGGGGAGGTAGTCCAGTAACTACAGGCCAGGTGGTGGTGCAGGCTGGGGGGGGGGGAGGTAGTCCAGTAACTACAGGCCAGGTGGTGGTGCAGGCTGGGGGGGGGGAGGTAGTCCAGTAACTACAGGCCAGGTGGTGGTGCAGGCTGGGGGGGGGAGGTAGTCCAGTAACTACAGGCCAGGTGGTGGTGCAGGCTGGGGGGGGGAGGTAGTCCAGTAACTACAGGCCAGGTGGTGGTGCAGGCTGGGGGGGGAGGTAGTCCAGTAACTACAGGCCAGGTGGTGGTGCAGGCTGGGGGGGGGGAGGTAGTCCAGTAACTACAGGCCAGGTGGTGGTGCAGGCTGGGGGGGGGAGGTAGTCCAGTAACTACAGGCCAGGTGGTGGTGCAGGCTGGGGGGGGAGGTAGTCCAGTAATTACAGGCCAGGTGGTGGTGCAGGCTGGGGGGGGAGGTAGTCCAGTAACTACAGGCCAGGTGGTGGTGCAGGCTGGGGGAGGGAGGTAGTCCAGTAACTACAGGCCAGGTGGTGGTGCAGGCTGGGGGGGAGGTAGTCCAGTAACTACAGGCCAGGTGGTGGTGCAGGCTGGGGGGGGGGAGGTAGTCCAGTAACTACAGGCCAGGTGGTGGTGCAGGCTGGGGGGGGAGGTAGTCCAGTAACTACAGGCCAGGTGGTGGTGCAGGCTGGGGGGGGGAGGTAGTCCAGTAACTACAGGCCAGGTGGTGGTGCAGGCTGGGGGGGGGAGGTAGTCCAGTAACTACAGGCCAGGTGGTGGTGCAGGCTGGGGGGGAGGTAGTCCAGTAACTACAGGCCAGGTGGTGGTGCAGGCTGGGGGGGGAGGTAGTCCAGTAACTACAGGCCAGGTGGTGGTGCAGGCTGGGGGGGGGAGGTAGTCCAGTAACTACAGGCCAGGTGGTGGTGCAGGCTGGGGGGGGGAGGTAGTCCAGTAACTACAGGCCAGGTGGTGGTGCAGGCTGGGGGGGGGGGCGGTAGTCCAGTAACTACAGGCCAGGTGGTGGTGCAGGCTGGGGGGGAGGAGGTAGTCCAGTAACTACAGGCCAGGTGGTGGTGCAGGCTGGGGGGGAGGTAGTCCAGTAACTACAGGCCAGGTGGTGGTGCAGGCTGGGGGGGGGGGAGGTAGTCCAGTAACTACAGGCCAGGTGGTGGTGCAGGCTGGGGGGGGGAGGTAGTCCAGTAACTACAGGCCAGGTGGTGGTGCAGGCTGGGGGGGAGGTAGTCCAGTAACTACAGGCCAGGTGGTGGTGCAGGCTGGGGGGGGAGGTAGTCCAGTAACTACAGGCCAGGTGGTGGTGCAGGCTGGGGGGGGAGGTAGTCCAGTAACTACAGGCCAGGTGGTGGTGCAGGCTGGGGGGGGGAGGAGGTAGTCCAGTAACTACAGGCCAGGTGGTGGTGCAGGCTGGGGGGGGAGGAGGTAGTCCAGTAACTACAGGCCAGGTGGTGGTGCAGGCTGGGGGGGGAGGAGGTAGTCCAGTAACTACAGGACAGGTGGTGGTGCAGGCTGGGGGGGGAGGTAGTCCAGTAACTACAGGCCAGGTGGTGGTGCAGGCTGGGGGGGGGAGGAGGTAGTCCAGTAACTACAGGCCAGGTGGTGGTGCAGGCTGGGGGGGGGAGGAGGTAGTCCAGTAACTACAGGCCAGGTGGTGGTGCAGGCTGGGGGGGGAGGTAGTCCAGTAACTACAGGCCAGGTGGTGGTGCAGGCTGGGGGAGGGGGACAAGGTAGTCCAGTAACTACAGGCCAGGTGGTGGTGCAGGCTGGGGGAGGGGGACAAGGTAGTCCAGTAACTACAGGCCAGGTGGTGGTGCAGGCTGGGGGAGGGGGACAAGGAAGTCCAGTAACTACAGGCCAGGTGGTGGTGCAGGCTGGGGGGGGAGGTAGTCCAGTAACTACAGGCCAGGTGGTGGTGCAGGCTGGGGGGGGGAGGTAGTCCAGTAACTACAGGCCAGGTGGTGGTGCAGGCTGGGGGGGAGGAGGTAGTCCAGTAACTACAGGCCAGGTGGTGGTGCAGGCTGGGGGGGGAGGTAGTCCAGTAACTACAGGCCAGGTGGTGGTGCAGGCTGGGGGGGGGGAGGTAGTCCAGTAACTACAGGCCAGGTGGTGGTGCAGGCTGGGGGGGGGAGGTAGTCCAGTAACTACAGGCCAGGTGGTGGTGCAGGCTGGGGGGGGGACAAGGTAGTCCAGTAACTACAGGCCAGGTGGTGGTGCAGGCTGGGGGGGGGGAGGAGGTAGTCCAGTAACTACAGGCCAGGTGGTGGTGCAGGCTGGGGGGGGACAAGGTAGTCCAGTAACTACAGGCCAGGTGGTGGTGCAGGCTGGGGGAGGGGGACAAGGTAGTCCAGTAACTACAGGCCAGGTGGTCCTACAGGCTGGACATCGTTCCAGTAGTGTTCGGGCAGGCCAACTACGGCCTACACGCGCCACCACACGCCTACATAGACGCCCTGACCTTCCCCTCGGTGAAGGCGCTGGCCGACCACCTCATCTACCTCGATAAGAACGACACTGCTTACAACGAGTACTTCAGGTGAGCCGACCAGACCACACACTAGAAGGTGAAGGGACGACGACGACGTTCCGGTCCGTCCTGGACCATTCTCAGGTCACAATCGACTTGAGAATGGTCCAGGACGGACCGAAACGTCGTCGTCCCTTCACGTTCTAGTGTGTGGTTTGGTTAATATATGCACTTCAGGTGAGTCCTCACACCGTCTCTGGTGTAAGCGGACAGTTGTCTTCAAGCCTTAAACACTGGCGAAACCTGTTTATCTTTCCTCACTCTCGGCAACTTTACATTTACTAAGAGATTTCGAGCTTGGAAGCTCCCATTGTTATTGTAAATCAAGGGACCCCTGATGTTGAGGGAGTTCCCTGGGGGTGACTATTGTATAACCAGGGACCCCTGATGTTGACAGTGTTCTCTGGGGGTGACTATTGTATAACCAGGGACCCCTGATGTTGACAGTGTCCCCTGGGGGGGTGACTATTGTATAACCAGGGACCCCTGATGTTGACAGTGTTCTCTGGGGGGTGACTATTGTATAACCAGGGACCCCTGATGTTGACAGTGTTCTCTGGGGGGTGACTATTGTATAACCAGGGACCCCTGATGTTGACAGTGTTCTCTGGGGGGTGACTACTGTATAACCAGGGACCCCTGATGTTGACAGTGTTCTCTGGGGGTGACTACTGTATAACCAGGGACCCCTGATGTTGACAGTGTTCTCTGGGGGGTGACTACTGTATAACCAGGGACCCCTGATGTTGACAGTGTTCTCTGGGGGTGACTACTGTATAACCAGGGACCCCTGATGTTGACAGTGTTCTCTGGGGGTGACTACTGTATAACCAGGGACCCCTGATGTTGACAGTGTTCTCTGGGGGTGACTAGGAGGTGATGTTCCTACCTACGTGTAATAGAAGTGTGTGTTCGCAGGTGGAAGAGATATCACCGTGTCCCCAACAGCTGGGAGAACTGGTCCAAGCCGTACTGTGAACTGTGTGAGCGGCTGCACGCCGACCACACCGTCAAGGTCTACCATGACATACACCAGTGGTTCGTGGAGGGCTCTAGCTGTCGGACCCGGTTCAACCACCACATAGCAGCCTTTATCAATGGGTACGACATCTCTTCCATTGCATCCATATTATGTTGCAATTGCACGCAACCTTCTCACGTGATGGGCACGCGCGGGCGTGTGTATGCGTGCATGTGTGTGTGTGTGTGTGTATTCACCTAGTTGTGCTTGCGGGGTTGAGCTCTGTTCTTTCGGTCCGCCTCTCAACTATCAATCAATTAACTGTTACTAACTACTATTTTTTTCACACACGCACACACACACGTTGTTTCAACTATACAGGAGGCACTGAACTACAGGCCAGTGTCCCTAACCTGCATACCATGCAAGCTGAGGGAGAAGTTTGTGCGAAGAAAGCTAGTGGAACACCTGGAGCGAAGGGGGACGGGGGAAGGTTCTGCTTTGACTTCACTTATGTCTGACTTGTTCAGGGATAATACCTGATCAAGTCTGGCTGGTTCATCATTTCCTCTCAACTTGTGGGGCCCCTTGACATGTTGGCAGAGAATTTTCTTGTTGCCGCGTCTAATAGTTTAGCTCTCCATGTTTTTCCCTCAGTGTGGTTCTCTATACTATGAGGTGGTGAGGTGTGAGGTGTGAGGTGAGGGAAACATAGAAAACGAGCTAACGTAACAACATAAGAACATAACAACAGTTATAGGAGACAGTAGGAGAGATATATACAAGAGTTGTTACATTCTTGTACAGCCACTAGTACGCGTAGCGTTTCGGGCAAGTCCTTAATCCTATGGTCCCTGGAATACGATCCCCTGCCGCGAAGAATCGTTTTTTCATCCAAGTACACATTTTACTGTTGCGTTAAACAGAGGCTACAGTTAAGGAATTGCGCCCAGTAAATCCTCCCCGGCCAGGATACGAACCCATGACATAGCGCTCGCGGAACGCCAGGCGAGTGTCTTACCACTACACCACGGAGACTGATAATTGATTGATTGTTATTTAGATTGTTATTTAGCATTTGCTCGCTTTTAACATCAGTCAATTTCTTGTTGTTTTTCAGGCAGTAGCCGCGTGACCTCCAGCGCGCGAGGTGGTGTTGGTGAGGCACACTCCAGCAGCCGGAGACACAAGGACAACAGCTCGCCCCATGAACAACCAGTACTCGTCAAGCCTGTACACAACCCCTTACGAAACCTGTACATCTTTCCTTAATCATAGGGGGCTTTGTTTACATTTATTTACCTTGCCTGATATATTACAAAAGCCAGAGTAAACTCAGTCCATGAAAGTGGTGGTCTCACTGAAGTCAACAATTTCAGACCAATATCATTCTTGCCGACCGTGTCTAAAATATTTACAAAAGTTACACTACAAACGGCTCTACTTGCAAAGTACAATATACTTAGCTTTTGCCACTATGGCTTCAGACCCCATAAAAGCACCAATGATGCAATTAGTATGATTAACTTTATATACGCAGGTGTATAAAGTTATACACCTGCGTGTATACACTGTTATACATTCTTGGCAAATTTGAGTGCCTTGTGGGTGTATTTGTTGACCTTCGTACGATTTTTGACACTGTTAGCCACAATAGCCTGCTTAAACTGCAACACTGTGGAGTCAGAGGTCACTCCCTGCAATACCTCAAATCTTACCTTACTGACAGACTCCAGTATGTTTCTGTGAATAGTTCCATTCCTCCCACCCTACCCATCAACATTGGTGTTCCTCAGGGCAGCATACTTGGCCCTCTCCTCTTTCTCATCTACATTAATGACCTAACAAATGCCTCTCAACATATCAAGACTCTCGACCATCTCAAGCTATTTGTTGATGACACAACCTTCATTTTCTCCATTCCTCGCCCTCTTGTTCTGAATGACACAGTGAATACTGAACTACAAGAGAACCATCTTTGGTTAACTGAGACACCCACGGATCAGCGCTAGTGAGAATAACCGCTGAGTTCCGGAAGCGTCCCGACCTGCTCGGAGTCGGTGAGGTCGGACACCTACAAGTTGCTCTACAGCAGGAGGCCGCGGTGAAGAGGCGCGAAGCCTTCAACAGGACGCCGGGTAATAGTGACTTATTAACTTCTCGCCTGTGAGGCAGGTCAGGCACAGTTGTGGTTATTTATTAGCCAATCAGTGACTAACGTGAGTAAACTATGGTTATTTATCGGCCAATCTCTTTTCCTTGCTCACTTTTCTTCACACTCCCGCTCCATCTCCGTCGTCACCGATGGGTCTACGTCTGCTGACGGTGTTGGCTACTCTGTTGTGTTTCCTGACACACCTGTGTGTCGCCTGCCTCCAGAGACTAGCATCTTCACGGCTGAACATTATGCTCTTCTCTATGCTCTTCGTCTCCTACTTTCTTGCTGTCAATCCTCCTTTGTTGTTGTCGTTGACTCTCGTAGTGCCCTCATGGCTCTGGAGTCCTTTAATCCAGTCCATCCAGTGGTCGTCGAGAGTCAACATTGACTGTTTCTTATCTCCAGTAAATTTAAGACAGTTAAGTTTTGCTGGGTTCCCAGCCATGTTGGTGTGTGTACTCGCCTAGTTGTACTTGCGGGGGTTGAGCTCTGGCTCTTTGGTCCCGCCTCTCAACTGTCAATCAACAGGTGTACAGATTCCTGAGCCTATTGGGCTCTATCATATCTACACTTAAAACTGTGTATAGAGTCAGCCTCCACCACATCACTTCCTAATGCATTCCATTTGTCAACCACTCTGACACTAAAAAAAAAATCTAATGTCTCTATGACTCATTTGGGCACTCAATTTCCACCTGTCTCCTAGTGCGTGTGTTCCTTGAGTTAAATAGTCTGTCTTTATCTACCCTATCAATTCCTTTGAGAATCTTGTATGTGGTGATCATGTCTCCCCCCCTAACTCTTTTGTCTTCCATCGACATGAGGTTTAATTCCCGTAGTCTCTCCTCGTAGCTCATACCCCTCAGTTCAGGTACTAGTCTGGTGACAAACCTTTGAACCTTTTCCAGTTTAGTCTTATGCGTGACTAGATATGAACTCCATGCTGGAGCTGCATACTCCAGGATTGGTCTGATATAGGTGGTATACAAAGTTCTGAATGATTCCTTACACAAGTTTCTAAAGGCCATTCTTATGTTGGCCAACCTGGCATATGCTGCTAATGCTATCCTCTTGATATGAGCTTCAGGGGACAGGTCTGGTGTGATATCAACCCCCAGGTCTTTCTCTCTCTCTCTCTGACTCTTGAAGTATTTCGTCTTCCAAATGATACCTTGTATCTGGTCTCCTGCTTCCTACCCCTATCTTCATTACATTACATTTGCTTGGATTAAACTCTAACAGCCATTTGTTCGACAATTCCTGCAGCTTGTCCAGGTCTTCTTGAAGCCTCAAGCTGTCCTCCTCTGTCTTAATCCTTCTCATAATTTTGGCGTCGTCAGCAAACATTGAGAGGAATGAGTCTATACCCTCTGGGAGATCATTTACGTATATCAGAAACAGGATAGGTCCGAGTACAGAGCCCTGTGGGACTCCACTGGTGACTTCACGCCAATCTGAGGTCTCACTCCTCACTGTAACTCTCTGCTTCCTATTGTTTAGGTACTCCCTTATCCACTGGAGCGCCCTACCTGTTACTCCTGCCTGTTTCTCCAGCTTATGCATCGGCCTTTTATGGGGTACTGTGTCAAAGGCTTTCCGACAGTCCAAGAAAATGCGATCCGCCCAGCCTTCTCTTTCTTGCTTAATCTTTGTCACCTGATCGTAGAATTCTATTAAGCCAGTGATGCAAGATTTACCCTCCCTGAACCCATGTTGATGGGTTGTCACGAAGTCCCTTCTCTCCAGATGTGTTACCAGGTTTTTTCTCACGATCTTCTCCATCACCTTGAATGGTATAGAAGTCAAGGACACTGGCCTGTAGTTCAGTGCCTCTTGCCTGTCGCCCTTTTTGTATATTGGGACCACATTCGCCGTCTTCCATGCTCATAAAGAGGAAATTGATTACCAACTTGGACTGCCTTTGAGCAGCCTGAGGGCAGTAATATTCCGGGAACATCAACTAAATTTCGGAAACTTGAGACAAAGTGAAATTCACACCAGTTACTCCATCTATCATCATTCTATTATGCAGGAAGAACCGCACGTCTATGGGTCATCCAATAACGTTAGCAGACTTCTAGATGTTACCGCTGCTAGGCTTAGGCTCGGCTACAAGTACCTCTGGAAATTTGTAACATCTGCTGATGTAGATTTGACTAAATGTAAACTCTGTCAGCAGAACTATTCGCATACTTTGCGTCATTATATAATGGAATGTGAAAAAATTGCGGAATTTAGAGATAACACCATCAATAGTGTCCAAGAAATGTATAAGTACTTCATTCATAATGATGTGCTGCCCGAAATCTTAGCGAAGTATCCAAAATTTGCATACTGTAGGTAATGCATGCACATGACTGTAAAGCTGCCGCCCAGTTGGGTGGGTGTGGAGCACATGACTGTAAAGCTGCCGCCCAGTTGGGTGGGTGTGGAGCACATGACTTTAAAGCTGCCGCCCAGTTGGGTAGATGTGGAGCACATGTCTGTAAAGCTGCCGCCCAGTTGGGTAGATGTGGAGCACATGTCTGTAAAGCTGCCGCCCAGTTGGGTGGGTGTGGAGCACATGACTTTAAAGCTGCCGCCCAGTTGGGTAGATGTGGAGCACATGTCTGTAAAGCTGCCGCCCAGTTGGGTGGGTGTGGAGCACATGTCTGTAAAGCTGCCGCCCAGTTGGGTGGGTGTGGAGCACATGACTGTAAAGCTGCCGCCCAGTTGGGTGGGTGTGGAGCACATGACTGTAAAGCTGCCGCCCAGTTGGGTGGGTGTGGAGCACATGACTGTAAAGCTGCCGCCCAGTTGGGTGGGTGTGGAGCACATGACTGTAAAGCTGCCGCCCAGTTGGGTGGGTGTGGAGCACATGACTGTAAAGCTGCCGTCCAGTTGGGTGGGTGTGGAGCACATGACTGTAAAGCTTCCGCCCAGTTGGGTGGGTGTGGAGCACATGACTGTAAAGCTGCCGCCCAGTTGGGTGGGTGTGGAGCACATGACTGTAAAGCTGCCGCCCAGTTGGGTAGATGTGGAGCACATGTCTGTAAAGCTGCCGCCCAGTTGGGTGGGTGTGGAGCACATGACTGTAAAGCTGCCGCCCAGTTGGGTGGGTGTGGAGCACATGACTGTAAAGCTGCCGCCCAGTTGGGTGGGTGTGGAGCACATGACTGTAAAGCTGCCGCCCAGTTGGGTGGGTGTGGAGCACATGACTGTAAAGCTGCCGCCCAGTTGGGTGGGTGTGGAGCACATGACTGTAAAGCTGCCGCCCAGTTGGGTGGGTGTGGAGCACATGACTGTAAAGCTGCCGCCCAGTTGGGTGGGTGTGGAGCACATGACTGTAAAGCTGCCGCCCAGTTGGGTGGGTGTGGAGCACATGACTGTAAAGCTGCCGCCCAGTTGGGTGGGTGTGGAGCACATGACTGTAAAGCTGCCGCCCAGTTGGGTGGGTGTGGAGCACATGACTTTAAAGCTGCCGCCCAGTTGGGTAGATGTGGAGCACATGTCTGTAAAGCTGCCGCCCAGTTGGGTAGATGTGGAGCACATGTCTGTAAAGCTGCCGCCCAGTTGGGTGGGTGTGGAGCACATGACTTTAAAGCTGCCGCCCAGTTGGGTAGATGTGGAGCACATGACTGTAAAGCTGCCGCCCAGTTGGGTGGGTGTGGAGCACATGACTGTAAAGCTGCCGCCCAGTTGGGTGGGTGTGGAGCACATGACTGTAAAGCTGCCGCCCAGTTGGGTGGGTGTGGAGCAAGACTAGTAACTGTGTGACTCACCATAGATGTAAAGTGCCTTGTATAGTGACTGTTGTGAGCCTCTTGTTAAATCACTTGTGACACAAAAGATTATTGATGTGGGTATTTGTGTGGGTGATTAAATATGTATGTGTATGTATATATGTATACTCGCCTGGCGTTCCGCGAGCGCTATGTCATGGGTTCGTATCCTGGCCGGGGAGGATTTACTGGGCGCAATTCCTTAACT